TTACTTCCTTTTTTTTGGGGGGGGGGAAGGGGGGAGAAATCCCTGCTTTGCAGAGCGCTGCCTTCCCCGGGGGCAGCGGGTGGGGAGTGGATGTGAGCCCACCCAGGGGGGAGTGAGGGTGTGTGGTAGTTGGGGGCCGTGGTGGTGGATGCTCCCAGTCCTGTGACTACTATGCAGTCTTTTCCAAGCCTCCCTGAGCTGCAGGAAGTTTTCCATCCCGGGGTGTTCCCACCCTTGGCGAGGTCAGAGCGACACCCCTGGACTCCCCCCCCACCTCTGCAGAGCCATTCTCACTGTCCCCATCAGCCACTGCCCCTTTGCCTTGCTCTTTTGGGTTTGGAAAAGCTCAGAGCCAACTGCTGGTCGTCATTTTGGGGTGGTTTCAGTGTTTACCACTCCAAAAGTTGTGCTGCTCTCTCTGGCTGCACCCCCCCCAAAAAAAAAAAAAACAACCAGCTGGATGGAGTCGTGTTGAGTGGATTACACACAGGTCACAAGGGTTGGGCAGGGCTAATCAGTGCAACTGAAAAGAAAACAAATGTGAATAAATTAAGTTTAAAAACTAAAAAAAAAAATAAAAAAATAAACATTCTAGGTTTTTTCACTGCTGTTTTTTAAATAGGAATTTTAAGTCCTCTGTGCTTGTCTGTTTGCTAGGAGCAGTTTGAGACACTGTTACTGTTTTGAAATGCATGCATGTTACAAGATGAGTCTCCAACCAGAGAAAAATAAAATTAAAACTTTGTGTACATCTGTGCCTTCCTGCTGTGCTCTTTGCCAGGGTCCTGCTCAGCTGCCATCAGCCAGGGAGGTGTCCCAGACATGGCAGCACCAGGGGGATGCTTTAAACTGCCAGAGGGAAGGAATTCCTCCCTGTGAGGGTGGGCAGGCCCTGGCACAGGTTGCCCAGAGAAGCTGGGGCTGCCCCTGGATCCCTGGAAGTGTCCAAGGCCAGGTTGGATGGGGCTTGGAGCAACCTGGGATCATGGAAGGTGTCCCTGCCCAGGGCAGGGGGTGGCACTGGGTGGGCTTTAAGGTCCCTTCCCACCCAATCCATCCCAGGATTCTTTGGACCACAACTGGAGAAGCCTTTTTACAGTGCCTGTAAAATGGGGGGGCTTAAGTAAGAACTGATTTTACCAAGTCCTGGCTCCCAGAACAAATGGATTTGTCCCACTCCACGAGCTGCAGCTCAGCCCTTCACATCCAGGTGGCTCAGAGGGAAAGGGAAACTCTGCTCCCACCTAAACCCTGAGCTGCTCCTCACGGCTTTGGGGAGGAGAACTCGATCCTCGTGTTCAGACCAAGCAAAGGCAAGTTCACTCCAAGCCAGAGGTTTATTTTAAAAAAGTCCCAGGACGGGTGTGACACGGGAGCAGCTGTGCTGGGCTAGTCCATGCGAGCCTTCAGGGTCCTCGTGGTGATCTTGTCTTTCTCTCTGGAGGGGGAAAGAGAGAAGATTGTTAATAAATCCACCTTTAGTCCCCACACACAGCCTGTCCCTGCCTTAGGAAGCTGCAGGTGCACAGGCAGGCTGGTCACCTGAGCTCAAGGTGGCTGTGACAACTGAGCAAACCCCCTCCTCCTCCCCCCCAGGGGAGCTCCCGGGCTTGGAATGCTGCAGGGAAGGAAAATAAGCTGCTTCAGGAGCCAGTTTAGTTGCAGAGCTGGGAGTTAACACTGCACCCAGCTGAGGCAAAGAGCATCCTCCTGGCCACTGCTACCCGTGTGTGAGGGACCATGCTCCCCCACATCCCAGTGGGAATGCAGCCAGGGAATCCCTGTGCAGCAAGAATCTGACTCCAGGCTTCGCTTCTCCTGCAGTTCAAGCAACAGGCACTCAAATAAACACACTGAGAAGGAACAAAGCATTTCTAAAGACACCAGTGGAAGGGAGCAGGGTTAGGGACACCCTGGAAACCAATCCTTGCAGTGAACTGAGTGCAGAGCCTGTTCCACGGGGAAGGGAGCAGCACTCACATGATGTGAACCACCACCCCCATCCCAGATATGGCATCTCTGTCCACGGCGTTCAGCATGGCCTGGGAGATCGTCTCGAAGAGGTGGTCGGGCTCCTGGGGAACAGAAGCAGCAGAAACTGGGCTAAAAGCTGCATGGGATTTGGTCCAAACCCCCAGTTATCATCCAAGACCCTGCAGGACTTCTCCCTCAGGCCGTTTAACCCACGGCCTCCCCTCCCGAGCTCCTTCGGGAAGCGCCGCAGGACGGAGCTTCCCACACAGCCCACAATCCCGGCTGCCCAGGGAACCCAGGAGGGTGAATCCATGAATCCCAGCTGATCCCAGCCCTGGCTCACCATGTCTGGCTCCCAGAGGGACTCGCACATCCCGTACATCTGCTCGGAGCAGGTGCCGCTGACCACGAAGTCGTCGGTGACCATGGGGCAGCCGATGAGGTCCAGGGAGCAGATGAAGGGCTCGTGTGTCACGGGGTCCAGCCCAGCAATCACGGGCTCTGTGTAATAGGGGCCAAACCTGGGGGGAACAGACGGCTCAGAGCCGGGAGGGACCCCCCAAGGACCATCCATCCAGCTCCTGGCCCTGCCCAGGACACCCCAACAATCCCACCCTGTCCCTCAGAGCGTTGTCCAAACGCTCCTGGAGCTCTGGCAGCCCAACCACACTCTGGGGGAAGAACCTTTCCCTGAGACCCACCCTAACCCTCCCTGACACAGCTCCAGCCCCTCCCTGGGTGCTGTCACTGCTCACAGAGCAGAGGTCAGGGCTGCCCCTCGGGAGGAAGCCGTGGCAGCCCTGAGGTCTCCCCGTCAATGCAATCCCACCTCCCACGTAAATATCCAGACAAGGAAAACATCCCACAGCTGCTTTTGGTGGGAGAACCTTCCAGGGCAAACTGGAAGCACCCTGCAATGGTTTTGGCAAGGCAAACAGGACGAGCATCACTAAATTATCCAGCCTCCTTTGGGCACACCACGAGCAGCTGTCACAGGAACTCCAAAACCAGCTCCAGGGACCTCACCCTTCCCTGACAGGGGACAGAGGATCTGCCTGGGAGTTACCGTCTCTCGTAGAGCAGGTTGGAAACCATGCTCATAAAAGTCTGGGGCTTGATCTGCCTTCCCTCCTTCAGCTCGTAGAGATTCAGCCTGAACTTCAGCCTCTGGGCGCTGCAAGAGATGAGAACTGGGATTAAATCAAGGCAGGTTGGTTTTCCTTTCCCCTTCACCCAGGCCTGAGCTGTTCTGCTGCTGACAGACACCAGCACCCGAGGCAGGTGGTGCACAAACAGCTCTTCTTGTGGCTGAACTTCAGTTTTAGTAGTGATGTGACCTTAAATCACACGCAGGATTTATTTAAAAAGCTCTCACAGAAGGGAGACCAAAACCAGGAGTGCTGGCACATATTATATTACATTACATTACATTATATTAATTATGTACGTTATCCCCTCCTTATGAACACACACAGATACTCACACCCAGCACAAGCTGCCCCTCGGTATTTATTGTAAATAAACGGGAACACGGGGCCGGGAGGGCCTCACTTACACCGTCTGCACGTCGGTGGCCAGCCCTGCCAGCCCGATGTAGAGCCTTTCTCCCATGGGGAAGATCTTCTGGAAGTCGGTGGTGACGGTCTGCGCCTGGATCCCGAAGCGCCGGTCGGCGGCGATGGCCACGCAGCCCTTGCCCTTCATGGCCATG